CACTGTGGAGTGAGTGTACTGAGGTCTGGGAACTGGCACTGGGTGGAAACTCAAGTGTTTCTGATCATTGGGAACGAGAGAAATCCCTACTTAACAATCCTAAGCAGTGTGTAAAAGAAACAGAAAACAAGTGTGAAAATTTCATTTCAAGAAACCTGGGTGTATTCTGACCCAAAACCACGTACAAAGGAAAGGGAGTGGGCCCTTGTTTTGACACACCTGTGTGTAAGAACTGTCGATCACTGACATTCTAATGAGGTATGATTTCTCTGGCACCCAGTTCAGATGTGTTGTATAAGATGGAAGGAATTCTGTGTCTGATAATACAGAACATGAAGTGGGGAGGTAAGATTTGGATGGAGATGGGGGAGGAGATCTGAATATGATCAAAATGCATAGTAGGAAATTCTTCAATCAAGAAAATTTTTTTAAAAAACAAATGAAGTCCAAATACAATGGTATTTAAAGGATCAGGATGCTGACACCTATAAAACACTGAGTTTTAAAAATCAAAGAATGTCTAAGTAGAGAGAAATGTGATACTCAAGAATTTGAAGATTTAACAACAGACAGAAATCAATTCTCTTTGAGAATGGAGGGAAAAGATCAACTGATTTGCATATTTGAGTCAATTCCTCTGTAAGGTCTTTGAAAATACAGATAATTCTAAAATATATTTGAGAGTGGCCGGGCATGGTGGTGCATGGTTTTAATCTCACCAGTTCGGAGGCAGAGGCAACTGAATCTCTGTGAGAAGGAAGCCAGCCTTGTCTACATAGTGAGTTCCTGGGACTACAGGAAGATGCTGTACATTTATTTCTTTAGTGTGTGTGCATGTGTGCACTCTAAGGTCAGGGGACAACTTGTATAGGAATGACTTTCATTAATGGACATAATCTGGACTACTGACTTTTAATTAACTCTAGCAAAAACCATGCTTTTGGACCTGAAGATCAGGGTGCCTCCTTGGCAACTTCAGTTTGGTACTGCACCCAAAGAGACAATGAATGAATGTGGGTCCATTTGAGAATTAACATATCAAAGCACTGTAAGCAGTGCACCCACCCAGTAGACTACTTGGAGGTTGAGAAAGGACAGACTCACAACCTTGGATGAATGAGAACTAGGGATAAAAAGATGGAAGGTCTGTGAAGATTAAGGGCGGAGCCAAACTTGAACTTGTACATCCCCAATGAAGATGGAGAAACAATTTGAATAAATTATGTGTATGGAACCTGGGGACACCTGGGAAAAAGAGGGTTCCATGGACAGTTCCATTGGCACAGGGTAAGGTCACAATAGCTCCATCTGCACAGCTGGAGGGCTCAAGAGAGATCCATGGGACAGTTCTGTGAGACAGACAATTCTAAAAAGAACTAGGGGAGGGTCTGGAGATTTGGCTCAGGGGTTAAGAACACTGACTGCTCTTGCAGAAGACCTGGGTTCGATTCCCAGCACCCACAGGGCAGCACAGTCTGTAACTTCAGTTCCAAGAGAATCACATGCCCTCTTCTGACCTCTGCAGGCATTGGACAACATGGGTACACTTACATTTAGGCAATAAAAAAGTAATAATAATAAATAAAATATTAAAAAACAACTTAAGAGTCAATTTGTTCGGTGATTATGATGCTGATGTAATAATAAATGCCACAAACTCGCAAGTGTTGTTTCTCTTCTCCATGTGGTTTCTGGGGATCAAACTCAGGTTGTCAGGTTTAGAGACAAGTGACCTTCCCACTGAGCCATCTCATGGGCCTTGCCATCAGCATAATTCTTAGACTTCTCAAAGAATGTTCAGGACCTGGTGTCACACACCTTTAATCTTAGCAGAGGCAGAGGCAGGTAGATCTCTGAGTTCAAGGCCACCTAGTGTGTGTAGCAAGTTCCAGGCCAGCCAGGGCTATATAATGAAACCTTGTCCTAACAAACAAAGAAGGCCAGGCATGGTGGCACAGGCTATAATCCAAACACTCAGGAGGCAGAAGCAGGCTTTGTCTGTATAGTGAGTTACAGGCCATCTGAGGCTACTGGGAGACCCTGTCTCAAAAACAACCAAAAGAAACAAAACAAACCCCAAACAGGAAAAAAAAAAGATGTAATTAGGAAGCCATTAGATTGGAGTAGCTCTGGCAGTCTAAATTCTGTATGAACAAACCAGAGCCTAATGTAAACTGTCAATTGAAATTTGAAACTGTACCAATCAGAAGCTGGGTGTGGGAGCCTATCACTGTAACCCCAGTACTCAAAAGGCTGTAGCAGGAGGACTGTGGGTTCAAAGTCAACCTGTGTTATACAGTGAAAACCTCTCTGAAACAGGAAGGGAGGGAGGGACTGAGGGAGACTACAGATTCCAGAGCTACCAACTGACCTCTAACTAGGGAATTTCCACTCTAAACAGTTAAAATTATCTCGCTCTTGTTTTTGAACACACTGTTAAAGTTTCTCTATTTTGAGCCTTATGGAAAAATGCTAGCCTTTGGGGATCTGGCACTTCCTTGATCAATAAATTTCTGAGGTAAACTCTTTAAAATTTAAATGTGCTTAGCTTTTCTTTGGAAGCTTTTCATTACTGTGACAAATACATGAGAAAACAAACTTATAAAGAGAAAAGGCTTTATTTCAGTGCACTGTTTTAGAGGGTTCTGTCCCTGATTGAGCAACTCAACTGGGGCCTAGGAGGCAGCACACCATAGCAGAGAGCAGTAGAGAAATTCCTCATAGTGGGGAAGCAAAAGAGATTGAAGAAGAGACTTGTGGGCCCACAATCTCCTTCATAGGTAGTTCCCACAAGGTTCTTAAAGATTCCACTACCTTTCAACAGTACCACAGGCTGGAAAACAGAAGCAAGACTTTAACACATAGGCCCTTGGCAAACATTCTAGATTAAAACTATAGTACCACATGTCCACCAAAGGCCTAGGATGTAGAATATATTTTTGAAGTCTCAAAAATCAGCAGTGGGGAGGGGAGATGGCTCAGTAGGTAAAATCACTTGTCACACCAGCCTGATGATTTGAGTTCAGATCTCTGGATTCCATGTAAAAACTGAGTACAGTGGCAAGTGTCTGCAATCCTAGCACTCCTACAGCGAGATGGGAGGCAGAGACAGGAGAATCCCCTGGCAGAAACTAGAGAAGTTCTGCCTCAACAAGGTGGAAGGAGAGAAGCAATTCCTAAAAGTTGTTCTTTGACCTCCACATGCACACTGTGGCACACAGGACATGTAATGTACACACACATTGTACACATACATGGTGTACACACACTGTACACACACATTGTACATAAACATACATACATATACACAAAAATAAATATTTTAAAAATCAGTAATTAATAACAAATGTAATCAGAAATTTCACCGAGAAGACGGGTGGCTAATAAGCACTTGTCTTGCTGAATCACCAGAGAACTGCCCTTAGCCTGCTCTTCTCCTTACTGTTTAGCTGAACTCACCACTTCTCCCGAGACCATTCCCACTCTGCTTCACCTTCCTTTTTCCCTCTCCCAGCCCTGTCTTCCTGTACACAGTGGTCAGACAAGGTACTCCCAACCCTTGCACAAATTTAGGCAACCTGATTTGATCTCACAAACAATTCCCATCTACTCCGTGCTGTGAACCTCATCTTAGTGTCCAGAGGAAGCCAATCCCAGGCACTTAAATAGTCCCAAGTCAGGCAGCTACTGAGATATGAGGCAAGGTAGGAAAGAAAAGAGGGGTTTCAGGGCTGGGGAGGGATGAGCACAGCTGGGCACAGGCAGGGGGCTCTTTCTGGAGCCCCTCATCAATCTATAGAGGCCACCAGGCTTTTTTACCTCCGTTGTTCTCAGACCAGCAAGAGAAAATGGACTAATCTAAGATTTCGTATTCCCTAAGTAGCAAAAAGCTTTCAAATCAATGTTAAATGTGCTGCTTAATGGCCAGCAAACTGACCTCTAGTTATTTCATTGTAGACTATGGTAAATGTGGGGGAGGTATGGCTGGTTACGTGCAGGAATAGATTATCTGGTGCAGAGGACAGAAAAGTTTGTGTGGGGTGTGTATTGTGGGACGTGTATATGTGGTATGAGGGATGTGTGTGTGTGTTGTGAGGTGGAAGATGTGGTGAGATGTGTACGTGTGTATGTGTTGTGAGGTGTGCATGTGTTATGGAGTCTGTGTATCTTGTGGGCTCTGTGGTGTGTGTTTTGTGGGGTTTGTGCTATGGGGTATGCACTGTGGGGTGTATGTGGCATGAGGTGTGTGTGTTGTGTACTATGTGTTATGGAGTATGTGTGTTGTGTGAACGTATGTGTGTTGTAGGGTATGTATATGTGGTATGAGGTGTGTGCGTTGTGAGATATGAGGGCATGGTGTGGGGATGAGTGGTATGTGCTTCTGTTGTAGGGGGTATGTATTGTAGGTTTTGTGTTGTGAGGTACATACATGTGTGAGATGTGTGTCTGTTGTGAGGTGTGAGGGTATGGTGTGGGGAGGTGTGATGTGTGCATATGTTGTGGGGTGTGTGTGGGAGTATACATATGTGTTGTGGGGTATGTGTTGTAGCATGTGTATATGTGTTGTGGGAGGTGTGGTGCGAGGTGTATGAGGTACATGTGTGTGTTGTGAAGGGTGTTTGTATTTGTGTGTGTGTGTGTGTGTGTGTGTGTGTGTGTGTGTAATCCACAGGAACAGATGTACCCAGAATGAAAACAGTAGAGGGTGGAGGCCTTCAGGATTCTTTGAAACTCCCAGGTGGAACCTAGGTCGGACACACATCCTGCACGAACCTTTCCTGCCCAGCTGGGATATCCTGTGTTTGTCGAAAGGACCACACAGGGAAGCCATGACCATTGTCCTTCCCGAAATCTGCCAGTGTGCCCCTCCTTAGGCAGAGGAAGAGTGACTCTGGAAATGTGTTATCAGCATCCTCCATAGACTTCCTCACCTCCTGCCTGGCCCCGTTAGCCACTAGCTCCTCAGCATCCTCTGACAGAAAACTCCGAGGCTGGGACAGGGTCAGCATCCTGAAGCCAGCTGCTTCTGACAGCTTCCTCCCTGGTCAGGCCCAGCCTCTGTGTGTTCTCTGTGAACAGCTCAACACCAAGGCTGCAGCTAAGAACCAGGATGGAGCCTCAGGCCTGGGCTGAGGTTGCTGCCATCCACCAGCGGTGGCCTGCCCTGTTGCTGCTGTGGCTGTCAGCCCTGCATTGTTCTTTCTCCTCGCAAGCTTCTCCCCCTCCTTCTCTGGTGCCCCGAGTCAGAAGCAGCTACAATTTGGGAAGGACTTTCCTCGGTCTTGATAAATGCAATGCCTGCATCGGAACATCCATTTGCAAGAAGTTCTTTAAAGAAGAAATAAGGTCAGAATCTCTATCAAATAACTCTGAGGGGCAAAATGAGGTTCTGTTCATGTGAAGATGTCTGGGAGCTTGTAGAAAATGAACCAAGATATAATTTATGGGTGGGTGCTGAAAGGAATGTATCAAACAATAGTGGTAATGGGTTGACATAGGAGGGCAAGGATCATAGCCAAATTCCAGCCCTAAATGCTAAATTCAGAGGTTCCTTTAGAAACTGAAAGCTGAAAGTTCTTTTCTGTGAATTGACTAGCCTAAGACTGTTGAGAGTTCCCTATTTGTTTTTCATAGTGGCGGGAATAAAACGTATAGAAGGTTACTATGTGGCAGACATTTAAAACCATCCCTGGTGTTGACAGCACCCATTATTCAGTCAGTGATGGGACAGCAGGATCAAGGAATTTGTGCAAAGGCACCCCTGATTAAGACAGGCCTGGGACACAAACAAGGACAGTTTGCACGGAAGTTTCAGAGCCTGTTTTCCATTGTGTGATACTGATCAGAAGAAAATCATAGTTTACTACATGGCGGTGCACATGGCTTTCATCAAAGAATGGCATCCAAGCCTATTAACACACAGTCAGGGAGCTATTACCAAGGCCACAGACCTAGCTCCAGCCAAGTAGGGACAGTCGCCCCAACTCTAGTCCTTACCCTCTAGGCAGTCAAGAAAAAAAAAAAAAAAAAAAAAAAAACAGCAAAACTGCAAATAATAATGAGGTTTGGTCTGATGCAGGCCAGAGAAAAGGGCCTCCAGAGCTGCAAGGAGGGGACACGAATTCCACATGTGAACTGGGAAAGGGTTTTTCTGGAGAGATTTCTGAACAAGCCCTCACAGGATAAACTGAAATTTCACTGGGAAGGGCAGGACTTAAGACAAAGCATCTTAACCAAGGGCGGAGGTGTGGAAGAGGTGAGAGATGCTAGTGGCTGGAGCTCTGGATGTAGATGGGGATGGGCCAAGAACCCTGGAGGTCTTACCAGGTTGAGGCCCTTGAATGCTGGGCCAAGAAATGGGAAATAACCTGTGGGCCAGTGGCTCCCAGGTTTTTTGGCCCCAAAAACCCTTTCTCCTACAGCCTTTCTCCTCTTTCCCCCAAGACCCCAGCTCGTGCTTGTGAGATTCCATAAGCAAAAGGCATAAGCTCTGATAAGCAATCAATCTCTATTAACCAACAGCATCTTTGTTTATTTCATTATGTTACTAAAAAGATAAATAGAAACCCTCAATTAAAAATGCTAAACTTCCTTTTTCTATTTTCTTATTTGCAGTTTTTTATTACCATATAATTCACTGTAGAAAACGATGGGTTTCTTTATGACATTTGCATGCATGCAGATTATATACTTTAAGCGTTTACCCTATTGCTCTTTCTTGTCCCTCTCCCTCCCATTGCCCTTCCTCTTCTCAAACACTTCTTTTATTTACGTGCCATATATTTTTAAAATCTAGATTATGCATCTAAGAAAGTACATGTGATATTTATCTTTCTGAGTCTGGTTTATTTTGCTTAGCATGATGATCTTCAGTTCCATCCATTTCCCTGAAAATGACATACTTTTGTTATTCTTTATGACTGAATAGAACTTCATTGTGTACATATACCACAGAAAATACTAAACATTTTTTTTAAGATCATAGAAATTTTGCCAGAATGGTGTCACATGCCTTTGATCCAAGCACTGGGGAGGCAGAAACAGGCAGATTTCTGTGAGTTCAAGGCCAGTCTGGTCTACATAGCGAGTTCCGGGCCAGCTAGGGCTACGTAGTGAGACCCTGTCTCCAAAACACAAAATAAGAAAGATCATAGATGATTTAGGGAGTTCATATGGACATTTTCTATTAATGTTTTTTTTTCATGGTTATAAAATGGAACTCAGGGCCTTTCACATGCTAGGTAAGTGCTCTACCACTGAGCTGCATCTCTAGGCCTCTCTGTTAAGTCTTTCGTAAGAGAACTTTTTGAAGGCTAAAGAGTTAAAGGACCCCTAATTGAGAAGGCAACAGCAGGCAATAACAAAGGTTGTAAGCTGAGAGGGGAAGCTCATGGAAAGCAGTGGGCATGATGGCCTGAGGGTCCTCTGAGCGAAGACCAGTTCTCATAGTCCAGAAGACAGGTCCCTGGGCACAAAGTAGGACAGAAAGAATACTGTAGACTCAGCTACAGGGTCATTTTGTTGACTGACTCATAGTGAAAGGAAATAATATAATATGGAGATGTGAAATGTGAATTCAGAGCTTCCCATCTAGAAAATGGGATGTGGAGGACCAAGAACACAGTGAAGCCGTGCTGAGAGGTTTTGCAAGAGGTTTTGCTCATCAAGTGGGTTCATTCGTGTTCAGGACATTGCTTCACTGCCTCCGGGTCTTTTTCCATATGTACCTGAAGAGGAAGCATGTCTACGAACACAGGAAAACACCAGATGGGCCAGGTTCAGGGTTACAGCTCTCCATGCTGAGAATGCTCATCCTCAGCATAAGGAGGCAAAGAGAGTCTGCGGATGTGGACATGCTTCTCATCCATCTTATTACCTTATTAATAATCTCTTATTATAAGCACAGTATCTGTTTATTTTAGAACTATTGATTAAGAAAAACAGAATAAAAATCACCAAGAATTCCTCCTCAAGTGGGCTGGGGAGATGGCTCAGTGGGTAAAGTGCTTGCTGTATAAGCATGAGGACATGAATTTGGATCCCCAGCTCCCAAGTAAAAACTGGACTTGGCCGTGTGAGTTCACAGCCTCAGCACTCAGAAGCGGAGGCACATAGATCTTGAGGCCAGCCAGTCTAGCCAAAATGGAAAACTTTAAGTTTAATGAGAGACCTGTCTCAAAAGAGGAAGATCAAGAACAATAGAGGAAGACACTAAGCATCTGCACACCACACACATGCACAGGCACAGACACAGGCACAGGCACTTGAACACACACACGTACACACACACACACACATACACAGGAACATGCACACACAATTCAATCATTCTTGTACACTCTTTAGGAACTTTAATACTATATGGAGAACATGTCCACATAATTAAATCTTGTTCTCTATAATCTGGTTTTTAAGGCTTCACAATATTCAATTATACCAACCAACTATAATATATTACATTAATCCACTACCACGAGATAACTGGAAATTTTTATTTTAATTATGTGTATGTCTGTGTGTGCCAGTGGATGGGTTTATACACATGAGTGCAGGTGCCTCAGAGGCCAAAGGCACCAAACTCCCCTGGAGCTGGAATTGCAGGGAGTTATGAACCATCCAACATGGATGCTGAGAACTAAACTTCTTGCTCTGGAGCAAGAAGTGCTGTTTACCGCTGAGCCATCTCTCCAGCCCCTTACACTTCCATTATTAACTCCCTGCCACAGACTCCTAAAAATGCTTTTGGATCAAAACAGCAAGTTTTGGGGCTATATGTATGTGCCTATATATCTTCAAACGAGTACTTCTAACTACAGAGTTCACTTCCTGTACACTCAAAAACATTTTATTTTATATTAATATTTATCAATAATATATTAAATTACATATACCAATTTAATATTAATGTTAGATAAAATGATATGTGTATATTTTATATGCTGTATAAAATGTGTTAATTATGCATGATAATGTTTATTTATCGAATATGTTACTATCAGTAATATTCTTTAGTTTAGAATTTCTTCTAAGTAGAACTTTTATTAGGTTTATTGGCCATTTGTGTTTCTTCTTTGCTAAACTGTCTGCAAGTTCACAACATTTGCTTCTCTCTTTCTTTCTTTCTTTCTTTGGTGCTAAGGATGGAACCTGGGGCCTTGTGCATACTCAGCACATGCCCTGCCACGGTCCATGCCCAGTCCCTTTGCCTCCCTTTCTAATGGTATGTTTATTCATCATGTCCTTGATTTCCTCTCCAAACATTTCTCCACTGTTAAAAACGATTCCCATTATGCCTGAGTAGAAAGCCCATCTCGGGCTCTCGGAAGTGTGGGAGCAATTCTCTAGCCTGATCCTTGTGTGCACACTCCTCACTCAGAACTGGACAGTGCTGGTTTAAGAAGGCATGTGTGCACAGAATAAAGTGAACATTTCATTCTAATTCCAGTGCTATCCTGTCCCCCCTCACTCCAAAACACACACCTGCCCTATTCACCTTGATGCTTCCCCCCAGTTCTGAGAAAGGATGGTCCTGTTGGTCCAACCTTCATGCAATCAGAAACTTGGCCAGCCTAGCCTCACCTCAATCGTGCCCATGTTCTCAATTCAGAAGGCATATTAGAAAGTTACCTGTTTCATGGTTTTCCAAATTCTGAGATTCTGGTATATTAACATTTCAGTGAATAAAAAGTAGGGCCTTTTTTTTAAAGTCTTTTTGAGACAGGCTCTCCTTGTAGCCCCAGCTAGCCTGGAACTCGCTATGTAAACCAGACTGGCCTTGAACTCAGAGATCCACCTACCTCTGCCTCCCAAGAGCTGGGATTAAACATGTGCGCCACCATGCCCAGCTATAAGCAGGGCCTAATTTTTTTCATTAACATTCTTCTAATCAATCAAGTAGGCAACTGATATTGTAAAATATACATGTTTCCCATTTGAGGCACTAAATATCTTACCATTTTGAATGAGAAAGAACCATTTGGGCACATGTCCACTGCAATGTGCACAGGTGTACTGCAGCAACAATTTGCTGACAGTTTCTGTTGCAACGTTTTTCCAACTGTGAGAGGGTGGAGCTGTAGTATGAGGAGTGGGGTGGATTCCAGCTCCCTCAATGAGTCCCTTGACCTTCTGGGCCTTGAAGTTTTTCTGTGGCTTGCTTTGCAATCAAAATTTGAGGAAAAGACTAATGATGTGACTCAGTGGTAAAGTGCTTGCTTAACATGCACAAAGCCATCACTTCAATAATAAACAAACCAACAAACCCGTGGGGAAAGCCTGTAGCCTCTTTGAGCCAAGCTGGATCATGTGAGTGAGAAAACAAAATGTACAGTTTGCAGCTCCTCAAAATGTTAATTCATCTAAAATGTATTAGTCAAAACTCATTATCATGGGGGGCTGGTGAGATTGCTCAGTGGTTAAGAGCACTGGCTCCTCTTACAGAGGACCATGGTTCAGTTCCCAACACCCACATGGCAGATAACAACCTACTATAGCACCAGTTCCAGGGGATCTGATACCCTCTTCTGGTCTCCACAGGCATTGCATGACACAGATGCACTTAAAATAAGTAAATAAAATTTTTTAAAACTCATCATCATGGAGTTTCCTAATGGTGCTCAATAACAATAATTTAAAGATTCTTATTTAAACTAAATATACGATATATTATATAGTCCAATTTTCACTTGAAGTTTGACCTTCAGTTAATAATAAAGAAGGTAAACTTTTTCTGAGTGATTTTTTTTCAGGCATAAATCAAAAGCAAATTCAACATTCTTCCCTAATGGAAATGTCAGGACACAGCTGGAGAAGTGACTGTGTTAGAAACCATAACCATGGGGCCTAGGAAATCATCAGATGACAATAAGCCAATGCTTCTCCCCTGAGGAGGATTAAAAGCTGACCTGACTGTGGTGCACAATTACACACCTGCTGGAGTTCAGATAGCTTCAGATTTGATGAGCATTAAGTAGCCACAGTTGCCTGAGATTTGGTCCCTTCTGATGAGTTAAATCTTTGAACTGAAAACAACATTGATGAGGCTCCTTAGGGTTGGATATGAGGGTGCAGTGATCTTTCCAGTACAGACCCAAGAGCCTCTTGTGGAACTATGGTTCCAAGACCCAGGCATTGGCCAGAAGGCACATGGTTTAGGCAACCAGCTTATGGGATGGTTGGGTTTGCACCCCCAACTGCTAACACAGCACTGGATTTTGAGTAAGATATTTAAGCTCTATAAGCTTCAGTTTCCATATTGTAAAATGAGGGTGGGGTATGTGAAGACTCAAAAGTGTATATTATCTTTAGATCAGGGCGTGGTAGCACACCTTTAATCCCAGCACTTGGGAGACAGAAGCAGGCGAATCTTTGTGAGATCGAGGCCAGCCTGGTCTACGTAGTGAGTTCCAGGCCAGCTGTGGCTATAGGAAAACCTTGTCTCAAAAAAGTCTAAAAAAGATATTATCTTTACATGGAATTGAAGTCTGAAGGTCATAACTGGTCCTTCCGCACGTTGAGTAAAGAGGGTAGCTTCTGTGTCACTCATACCACTCCCATCTTTTCTGAAGTCACATGTACACTTCCCTAAGTTTGACCATATAGTCCTGTCATTAAATGACTTCAGAACACTTCAGTCTAAAGAAAATAAATGTGTCAGACAGGCTGTTACCCCATTTCCCTGCCCTTTGGCTCTGCTAAACTCTGGTTCACAGATTGATCCTATGCTTCCAATAGGTTTGACAGCTCGCTGGCTTCCTACCTTGGCCTGCTTCCTCAGGACTTGCCTTCTTATGCTGCAAATTACTCAGATGATTCCAAAACTTGGCGCCCTGTAGAGATCTCTAGGCTGCTCAGCAAGTACCAAAATGAAATCTCCGACAGGAGAATCTGTGCCTCAGCATCAGCCCCAAAGACCTGCAGCATCGAGCGTGTCCTTCGGAAAACAAGGAGGTTCCAGAAATGGCTGCAGGCCAAGCGCCTGACACCTGACCTGGTGCAGGTGAGTGTGCGCCATGGCCAAATTGGGGCTGATAGAAGAGATCCACCCACTTCTCGCACCTGAGTTTAACATGAAGGAGAAATTGTGGTCTATACAAAGTGTGACAAAACAGTCATAACACAGAGTGGCTTGTGACAAGACAAAACTAATCAAGATTTGCTTGTAAGGTTATATCCCATTATCATCCACCATTCTCTTTGATGTGATCCTCAATGATTGAGAAATCATTCTTAACTGTCACCTTTGATCTGAAGGTTTGTTGGGAAGACCCTTACCAGCCACTCCCCTAACAGGGTTAAACTCACCAGTAGCTTTCCCCTGGAAGCTCTCACCAATCCCCAGATAAGGTGAGCCTTGTTCTATAGTCGGTCCCATATAAAGGCCAGACATGGTGGCACATGTCTGTAATCCCAGCATTCAAGAGGTAGAGGCAGCAGGATCCCAAGTTGGAGGTCAGCCTGGGTTACACAGTGAGACTCTGACTCAAAAAAAAAAAAATGCAGGAGGAGAGTGGAGAGATGGCTCAGCAACTAAGAGCATTTATTTCTCTTACAAAGGACCGGTTCCCAGCACTGACCTTGGATGGCTCACAACCACATGTAACTCCAGACACAGGGATCTGACACCCTCTTCTGGCCTTCAAAGGCACCTACACTCACATACTCATACCCCCACACAGACATAAACAGGTACACATAATTAAGACAGTTTTAAATTTTAAAAAGCAACAGCTCCCAAATATTCTTTCACAATACAAGAGTCCACTGTGAAAATCAGCTCTGTCATCTATCCCCACCCTAAAGAAGGACCAAACCTCAGTCTCAGAAGCAGACTCAGATAATATGGTAGCCTCCTCCCACTTAGAGCTCCACACCCATTCCCATGAAAACACTGCTAGAGAACCCGGGCACATAGCTGCTGCCAGCATATTCTGCCTTGGGTGCTGTCAGCACTATTGTCTCAAGTGTCACCCAACCAGCACAGTCAGAGATCCCCACTTACTGCCAGATGAGCCCCTAAGAACAGACGCTGCTATCTCCAAGGCCTGAGGAGTGGCTCATCTTTGATAAAGATAGGAAAGCAGGGGCTCGCTGCAACCTCCCTGCCATGACAAGGCTGGAGGACCTAAAGTGACCTTCTCATGGCGATACTACAGTGACTTCCCACATTCCTCGAGCTAGTGGCTCCTTCATATGTGAATGTGTTTGGGTATGGGATTAACTCCTTAATCAGTAGACTGGGTAAAGCATGTTGTGCTATGTGAGTGGGCTTCATCCAATCTGCTGAATACCTGGGTAGAAAAAAAGAGCCAGCCCTCCCCCAAAAAAGAAGGAACTTTTCTTGCCTAATTGAATAAAGTTGAGCTTTCCAAGATTGTTCTTTCCTACCTTTCTGTTATCAAGTCCCATACAATCCAAGGCAAGACTGCTTCCACCTGGGAACTGAAAAACAGCAAAGGAAAGAAATTCTGGGTGTACAAGATCTATTTGAGAGTCTACATAAGGTGGTTAGACAGGCCATAGGCTGTAGAGTAACACAAATTCTCTCTTGCCCTCTATATGCTGCCATAATGACAATAAAAAGAGAATTATCCCATGGGTCCAGGCAAATCCAAAGCACCCTTTTGGTACATCTAGTGTCCCCTGTCTTGATGCATGTTGGCATCAAGGCATAGGGCAAAGATCCATGAAGCAAAAAAGCTCTGGTTGAGTGCCAGATCTGCCACTAAATCTGTGGTAGAATGAGAATAGAGCCCCCAGGGAGAATAGAGTGTTTCTGATTCTCCTTTGTACATTCAACAAATTTCAACAACCTTGCTACATCTAGGGACTCAGAGACGAATCAGACATAGCTGCCTCTCCCAGGAGCTTTGGGCTCAGTGGGGAAACAGACAAGAGCACAAATTACCAATTTTTGAATGTTATGAGGACGCTCTGTATGGGGGCAAGGGGCAAGACTTGGGTCCTTCATTCACTGACGAGTTGACCCTGGATATAAACCTAGAAATTCCCCCACACTGCTCTGACACTCCTGCTCCAAAAATGGGGTGGGAAAAGGGCTTCTGGATAAGCTAAAAGACCCTCCAGGCTCTGACATTCCTTGACTTATCAAGGCTCTGCTGTATTTATTTCACAAACTGACCTAATGTCTACTGTCACCAGGTGCTAAGCTAGGCTTACATTTTTCTCAAATGGCAGTAAGTGCTCCGTGTTCTGCCTGATTCATTCATCCTAATATGCTTATAGATATGAGACGCTTTAGAAAAAGCCCATCACTATAGTAATGAACATGACATTCTGGTAATAAATGGATCCTTTTCTTTATTACATGAAAATTTTGTCCACTTTGCAATCGACATGTAGCTTAACAAGTTTTCCTTCTTTCTGCCCAAACGTCTGTTAACACCTGAAACCAGGCATAGTGGCACATGCCTTCAATCCCAGTACTTGGGAGGCAGAGGCAAGTGAATCTGTGAGAATGAGGCCAGCCTGGACTACAGAGTGTGTTCCAGGCCAGTTGCGGCTACAGGGAGACCCTGTCTCAAAAAAAAAAAAAAAAAAAAGGACCATGCTTTGACTCTCCCCTGACCTATCTTTTCATGTCCACCAGACTTCCCCCCACTCTATAAAAAATAGAAAAATATCAGTAGTCATTTTATAAATTCTGGGCAAACTCCATTGTTTTTCTATCCACCAAGATCAAAGTCATCGCTATTCCTTTCTGGCACTGTCTCGTCCCTTTTCTGGAATCCTCTCCCAGAGACCCTTTGCCCTTGGGGTCCACAACCTACCTGGCCTCCTCGGGATATCTCCCAAATGCCTGTTCTTTGCTTCTTAGCAAAGATCACCCATCACACACTTGCAAATAGATCTATCATCAGCAAAGACGAAGCAGGGGAAAAATACCTTACCTGTCCTAACCCAAGAAAATTGAAAACAAGAATTCAAAAAACTCCCTGTAAGTAAATACTCAGATACTATTATTACCATCTTATTAACTACTATTATAATAGCCAAATGTCCATCAGCTCATGAGTGGATAAATAAAATGTTTTACATCCAAACTATGAAATATTATTCAGTCATAAAAAGAAAAGAGGTACTGATGCATACCAGCACACAGATGAATCTTGAAAATAAAATAAAGCCAAACACTAAAGAAAATATGAACAATAGGTAAATGCCTAAAGAGAAAAAAGATTAGTAGGAGCTAAAGGAAGGGGAGAACGCCAAGTAACGGTCAATTGATTACATGCAGTTTCTTTTGGGGGCAATGAATAGGTTCTGAATTAGATAGTGGTGATGGTTCTATATGTTTCAGAATGTAAGAAAAGCCACAAAATTCTATATTTTCAAATGGCTAATGTGGTCAGGGATGGTGGTGCATGTTTGTAATCCCAGGATTTGGGAGGCTGAGGCAAAAGGGATGGTAAGTCTGAAGTCAGTCTTCACTACATAGTGAGATCTTTTGTCAATAAAATGTTTAAAATGGTGAATTAAAATTCACCCACTAAAGCCCAATAAAAAGGACAAACATATCAAAGTACATTGTATATGTGTACGAAAATATCCTCATGAAATTCAGTAGTGTGTACAATGAATATATCCAATGAAAGTAAGGAAGAGCAAGTCATTAAAAGACTAGCCTATCTTGCACTCCATTTGGGGGTGTTTTGTTTTGTTTTGTTGGTCTTTTTGAGACAGGGTCTCCCTGTAGCCCCAGCTGGCCTGGTACTCGCTATGTAGACCAGGCTAGCCTTGAATTCACAGAGATCCGCCTGCCTCTGCCTCTCGAGCGCTGGGACTAAAGGCGTGCACCACCACACTGGGGCTGTGACTCCATTCTGTTAGAGCCATGTGACTGACAGCTAACTAGGCCAAAATTTTAACAGCTAGAGCATTTCACTGTTAGCACTCCAAAAAAAAAACCACTTGCATACAAAGACAACAGTTCGATGTTTTCACTGGCCCATACATATCTGTCTCAGTCCTTCCTAACACTGCCAACCCCTTGTATCTGTGAGCCCCACACCTGTGGATTCCACCAATCACAGATCCTAAACTATCTGTGGTGCACTCACCTGTAGTTCCAGCTACTTCCAAGGATGAGGCAGGAGAATCCCTGGAGTCACTTTCCAACAGGGATCTAGGCTCGAGTTAGAGAGAGAGACAGAGAGAGACAGAGAGAGAGACAGAGAGACACAGAAACTGAGAGAGACACGGGGGAGGACCAGCTAGGGCTACATAGTGGGACCCTGTCTCAAAAAGAAAAAGACTGACAAGACAGAGAAAAGAGAAAAAAATCAAAAAAATGAAAGTAAACTGATCAAGAAGGGATCTGGCTGATTCACAGGACTTAGGAGTGTGCACTGTCAGTCATGTTTATGAATAAAGGTCACTTGGATGAAGAGCCCAGTAACCATCATCAGAGGCAGAGTCTGGAGTCTGGGTCTCCCCTTCTGCAGGGCCAAGTGCAGTGTTGTCATAAGAACACTTTCAGGCATCAAATCCACAGCAAGGCCTGCCAAAGAGGGTGATAGGACCAAGAATTAAGAGGAAGTTGAAAACCCAGTGCCTGTCTGTGCACAGCACTTATGCTTATAAAACGGTTTTTCTCCTCTAAAAGCTGCATTGTTCGGATAGGAATATCCCACAGCCTAAATTACTTGCCCCCCAAACAGAGAAGCATGGCCAGGAACAGCACTCGGTTTTTCATGATGTGCTTGTTTGTAAAACCACAAAGAAAGCTGTTGTGCCAAGCACAAACGGGCGAGCACCCCAGCCAGCCGATGGCCGATGGGAAAACTCATATTCTCCATCCTGTCTGCCTCCCATCCCCTCAAAAATTACCTCATCTGCTTCTGACACAGCCCTAAAGGCAGATCGGGTTACTTCCTCCAAGGAGAAAGCACTAAATGGCCGAGGAGCTTTTTCCCCACTAGATGGTGATATAGAGTATTCCAGCAGCTTTGTTTAAATAAGGGCGGCCGGCAATTTTAC